GAACTGGACACAGTACTCCAGATGTTGGTTGCAAGGGCACACTGTTGACTAATATCCAACTTCTCATCCACTGTAATCCCCAGGTCCTTTTCTGCAGAACTGCTGTTTAGCCAGTTGGTCCCCAGCCTGTAACAATGATTGGGATTCTTCCATCCCAAGTGCAGGAAAAATTGGAAGTGCTAATAAATAAATATAACTATGACATTGTTGGTATCACAGGGTACGTCTAGACTACAGGCTTTTTTCGACAGAGCCTTTGTCAACAGATACTGTCATCAAAGTCTCTGTCAAAAAAGGGTATCTAGACTGCATTATGCATATCAAAAAAGCAATGTTCTTTGTCGAAAAAGAGCATCCAGACTGCCAGGCACTCTGTCAACAAAAAAAAAGGCTCCCAGAAGTGCTTCTGGCAGGTCACAGCGGAAGTCTTGAATTCTAGTCACTGCTGCATTCCCTTTGCAGAGTTAGGCAGCAGTGGGACGATGACCAGTGGTTCCGAAACTTCCAGATGCAGAAGTCCACCTTCCAGGAGCTCTGTGCATGGCTTGCCCCTGCCCTGCAATGCCAGGACACTCACTTGCGGCCTGCCATCTCCCTGGAGAAGCGCGTTGCTATTGCTCTGTGGAAACTGGCCACCCTTGACAGCTACTGCTCCGTGGGACATCAGTTTGGCATGGGGAGGTCTACTGTTGGGGCCGTCTTGATGGAGGTAAGTCACTCTCGAGGGACAGTCCCTGGAGACAGGGGTGGGTGGATAAGGGGGATGGTCAGGACCAGGCACAGGGAATGGGGGATGGGGTGGGAGTGGTAGAAGCCTGGTTTGCCTCATCCTGCAGTGGTGTGGAGGGCACGGAGGGGAGGTGTTACCTGAGGGGGGGCTCTTGGGGTCTGGGAGGGGTGGGGTGGGGGAGCACCTCTCATCAGCTCATGCAATTCCTCTAATTATGTATGTTTGTATTTGTCCCTTTCTGCAGGTGGTGATGGCCATCAATGCAGAGCTGCTTCACAGGACTGTCCGCCTCAGAGACCTGCATACCATCTTGGCACTCGACAGGACTCACATCCCGATCCGCACACCACCCCATCAAGCAGCACAGTATATTAAAAGAAAGGGCTACTTTTTGATGGTGCTGCAGGGCCTGGTTGACCAGTGGGGACAATTCACAGACATTTGTGTCGGGTGGTCAGGCCGGGCACACAATGCCCACATATTCCAGAACTCCTACCTGTACCACAGGCTGCAGGCCGGGGCATTCTTTCCAGAGAGGAACTATGCAGTCGGGGATGTGCAGATGCCTACGTGCATCGTGGCCAACGCAGCGTACCCCCTTATGCCCTGGCTCATGAAGCCATTGACGGGACACCTGGATGCGAGCAGGGAACTGTTTAACTCCCACCTGAATCGGGCTCGCTTCCAGATGGAGTGCGCCTTTGGCCGTCTGAAGGGCAGATTTAGATGCCTGCTCACTTGGCTGGATATGGCGGAACACAACATCCCCCATGTGGTTGCAGCATGCTGTGTACTGCACAACCTAGTGGAGAGGAAAGGGGAGGCCTTCCTCCCTGCATGGGGGACACGGGTTGATGTGGAGGGGAGGCACTTTGAGCAGTGCAGGTTCCACACCCCAGCCTCCACACTCCGAGCTATATCCTTCTCACTGAGAATGAAAAAATAGCACCTTGATATTACAATTGGTGCACTATAAATACCAAAGAAACAGAAAACTATTTACAGTCAAATGCTATTATTAGTCCTAGTTTTTAAATCAACATACATTATTTGTACTTCTTTATTACTTGCTATGTTGTAAGCTCTTTGGAGCATGGACTTCTATGACCTTTGAAGTACTATGTAAAAATCTAGAAAGTAACAAATTCTGCAGTGTGTGTATATATACTGCATTCTGATTTCTAATCATATTTCTACTTCCATCATAAGGGCTTCAAACCCAGGCAGCTGGTTTGTTTCTTGAACTCAGACACCGAAAGCAGAAGCCGTTGGTACTCGGCTCCTAAAATTGTAAGTCAGCTCTAGTGACCCCATTGAAATGGGTCATGGCCCACTTTGAGGTCCTGGCCAAAAGTGTGGGAACGACTGGTCTAAGTGATGAAAACGATGGCAGCTTCTGTCCTCAGAGTCTATTGATCTTAGATTTCAGTGATTTTCTAATACCTATGAATAGATCAACCTGGGTGAAAACCTGGGTGAGGAGAAAAATCTCTATGAGGATCCCTTCTATGGGAAATTATCTTTATCCCCCCATTCCACCACCATCTGTGTGAATTAGATCTTGGAGACTACCATAAATGTCACAGGTCCTTAGGAATCTAGCTGTGCAGAGGCAATATGCCTCCCTAGTGGTTCTATCTTCTGGCAAGCCTGGCCTCTTGGCTTCCTATTAACCTGGTTCTAATACTACATTTTTAACAGGCTCTTCCCGGGTAATTGTTACACATAGTTGGGCTAATGTGAGAAGGGGTAAACAAACAGCATGGATCAATTTCTTACATCTGTCACCAGGGAATCTACATGATGTGTGTATTCCTGACCTGACTACTCTCTCTCCATCCCGTCCCCTACTGTGGACAATAAGCCTCGATAGGCTCCAGGGATGGAATGGAGGCCAAGAGACAACTTAATGAAGAGGACCCTGATGCAAGATGATTCACTTCTAGGTTCTCTAAATGCCCATCATATTGTTACTTAGCAGGTCATCCAAATGTCCAGCCAAAACTACCAATAGAAAATTTTTACACAGCTATCTTCCTGCTTGTAAGGACTGCCTTCATCTGGACATAAAAGGATAGTGAAACAATTATTTTTTTGCATTTTAGTTATTACCAGAGAAACTTGATTTGTCAACAGCTATACTTCTTAAAAAATCAAAAACTAGTACTGGTAACTATTTCAGAGCAATTGAAATTTCCGGGAAGGAGCTGAAGTACATCAAAAAAGCACTTTTCTTCAAAATAACCTCCCCCATGAGGCTGATGCCTTCTAGTTTGTTTTAGAGTCACCCACAGAACCAATAGCATGTACTTTGTTAAATAGCTTTTCCAGTAAAGAATACATTACAGACCATGGTAATAACAAATCCCTCTGTAACCCCATTGGTGCATGTTCTATCTTGGTAATGTTTGGTTTAAACTAAGCAACTTGGAGATTATTAAGGACATTGGTGGAATGATCCTATTTCAAGGAATGGTAGTGCATTTTCACAAAGTCATAGTGCTTTATCAAACAGGCTGTGTTGGTTTTCACAGGTGTCATTTCATGCTTCAGTGCTTGCTTTCCCTTTGAGTAATAGGGCATTTCAGCAGACTTGTTTCTCTTCCAAGTTCTATTCTAGGGGTCGTTCAGAGTGAGAGAAATGTCTATAATGCTCAGTCTTAGGAATATAGATAAGCATTGCCTTCCTCTTTCCCATTTAGCCTTTAAACCCCATTTAGCCTTCATTTTCCTTAGCTATTGGAAACTGCTTTAAAAACACATATTTTAAAAACTGTTCTGGTTCATGTAGCTTTGCCAGAGGCAATAGATGAGCTGTCCCGCATCAATGTCTGTGCTGCAATTTTCTGGTTCATGGGTATGAAAAAGCACCATCTCCCCAAGCACAGCAAATTACAGTGTTGTAAAGCAGGCGGAGTAACGGTAGTTCGAATTAGGATCTTTAATTGGAACTACCTACTCCGTGCTGGGTGTAGCCACGGGCACGGAGTTCGGACTAAGGGGGATTTAAAAATGATGGTGCCCGGGAACATGCAAATGAAGCCCGGGATATTTAAATCCCGGGCTTCATTTGCAACTCCACTTGCCCTCATTACCCTCCCTGGCTTGAACTAATGAGCTCGGAGACCTCTCTACCTGCACTCTTGCCAGAACCACACTAACACATTAAAAGCATTGCTGTAGCAGTGCTTTAAACTTTCAAGTGTAGACAAAGCCTTTGTCACAGAGTTTTTGGGAATAGGCTGCTACCTGGTCTCCAGTGTGTTTTTAACTGTTTAAACAAAATTAGTAGTATTACATTGATGCCTAGACCCCCAATCAAGGATCAGAATCAATATTCCCTTTAAATGTTTTCATCCACATGCAGAATACATTTTGTTATATGCCCCAAGACATGTGTGGATGTGCACCACCAATAGAAACACATGATGCCAACTGTGGGTGCTCTGCTAATCAGCTGGATGGCATGTGAGTCTTTCTTGGGTGGTTGCCCAAGTATTCAGCTTATAGACACCATTGAACAGAGTCCCATTGTGCTAGATGTTGTACAGAGAAGTTACAAAGAAGTCAATTCCTTTCTAGAAAGCTTACATCCTAAAAGTACATCCGGATAGCAAGTACTAGATGGGGGTGAGAGGGGAGGATGAAATAACAAAACAAAGAGTTTAGGATAAGAACAGAAGTCATAGAATATAGGGTTGGAAGAGACCTCAGGAGGTCACAGAGTCCAACCATCTGCTCAGAGCATGACTGATCTCAACTAAAATATCCCAACTAGGGCTTTGTTGAATCAGGACTTAAAAATCTCTAGGGATGGAGAATCCACCACTTCCCTAGTTAATCCATTCCAGTGCTTCACTACCCTACTATTGAATTAGTTTTTCTCAATATGCAACCTAGACCTCCTTTGCTGCAACTTGAGACCATTGCTCCTTGTTCTGTCATCTGTCACCATTGAGAACAGCCTCTCTCCATCCTCTTTGAAACCCCCCTTCAACTAGTTGAAGACCACTATCAAATTGCCCCATACTCTTCTGTAGACTAAATAAGCCCAAATCCCTCAGCCTCTCCTCATAACTCATCTGCTCCAGCCCCCTAATAATTTTGTTGCCCTCTACTGGACTTTCTCCAATGCATTCACATCCTTCTATGCTTTTAATATGTACGTGGTGGTCCCCTCTGTATATATAGTCCTGTTCCTGCTACTGAATTTGGAAATAGTATCTATGCTCACTCAGGAACAGTCTTTCTGATCCAGAGCTCCCATGACATGGCAAACAACCATGCATTCATACAGCCAAGACTCTTCTTGTGCTATTTGCTGGGAGCCAAGTTGGGTTAAGCAGCTGGAAAAGAGGCCATAACAAAACTGAGAAGTCTAGAAAAGTAAAATATAACTGAACCAAAAAGGTCAGAGTTCAGCTCTGTTTGAGGGGCAGGCTGAGGTTCAGTCTGGTCCCTGTTTTATCAAGCTAGCTCATTCATAGCTAAAACTATTGGAAAAACACTTTCTTACTTTTCTGAGTGGTAACATGTTCTATTCAAACTTTGAAAGACAGCATACTTTTAAAGGGGCCTGTAGCAGAGCAGCCATCGTTTTTCATACAATTTCAGTTCTGGTCTGATGTCTCTTAGAATGTCACATCCCAATGTGGTAACAGAACATAATGCAGATAAGGTAACATTCTAGAAATTAAAATATTCAGGGATAGTCTTTTCTTAAATTCCTTACTCCCTTTGTGGAAATGAATCCGTTACAGATCTGAAAAATAAACTCACACTTGACCCAATGCCCTTTTGGCTTCCATTGACTTCAGCAGCACCAGGTGCCTGCTGCCTCTAATGCTAGATTAAAATTTGCTAATGGATTTGTAACAGTCTATTCCCATCAGTTCACAGCAAACAGGAGTTTGCTTTAATGTGCATTATCTGTGTTTATCTCTTTATAATTATCTTTCATTTCCAAACATATGATGGAGGCACTGTAGCTTGTGGTTATAGTGTTCTGTTGCCAGGGCCAGAGAGAGAAGCCCAGGAGAGATAAGAAAGCTCTTTTAGCTCCTTATTGAAGTGAGGTTGAAGCAGAGGGGAGGAGGGAGAGATTAAATGGAAATATGCTTCAGTCTGAACAGTTAGAGCCATGCTGTGCTAAATAACATTTTAATTCACTTTTAAACCCAGTGTTCAAACAGCAAATAAATGTATACTTTTTTTCTTTCTATACCAAATTTGTTGAAAGGAGAAAAAGTTATCCAAGGGTGCATCTACACTGCACCGTTATTTTGAGATAACTAGCGTTATTTTGAAATAACAATGTGAGCTTCTACACAGCCATTCTGTTATTTTAAAATAATTTTGAAATAATGGATGGCTTATTCTGAAATCTGTAAACCTCATTTTACAAGGAATAACACCTACTCTGAAATAACTATTTCAAAATAAGGTGTGTGTAGATGCTCCATTGCGGCTATTCAAAATAGCCCCTCACCAGGGCCATTCTAAGTTCTTCCTCCCAGTGTCTCCTGGGGCTTTAAATCGAGATAGCATGTCTACATTAGGAAAGCTTGTTTTGGACTACTTTTGAGACTTCCCTGCAGTGTAGACATGCTCTTTCGAAATAAGCTATTTTAGAATAACTATTCCAGAACAGCTTATCATATATATATATATAGTAGCCCAATGTCTGTGACTCTGTAATGCTGAAACGCTGGCTGTTCCCTCTGGGTGGCGCTGTTGCCTCCAGCCGTGGTGCTCGGCTGACTTCTGTGCCACTCAGCCAGGCTGCCGCACAGGAGCAAGGAGCACAGGCGGCCGTTTGGGTTCCACGCTCCCCATGCAGCACGGGGCCCAAAGGGCCGCTTGCGCCGCTTGCTCCTGCACAGTGGCCCGGCTGAGCAGAACAGAAGTCAGCCGAGCGCCATGGCGGGAGGCAACAGCATCGCCCAGAGGGAACAGCCAAGGGGTGGGGCCTGGACGAGCGTGCATCTCTGACGTCAGGAAAGGGCGCCGGATTCAAAAGGAGGAAAGCGGAGCAGACACAGAGGATGCAGAGGAGACAGAGAGGAGAACGGAGGAGGCAGAGGACAGTGAGAGAGAGAGTGAGAGAGATGCAGCGGGAGGAGGAGAAGAGAAACACAGAGTGAGAAGCGGGAGGGGGAGACAAGAAAGAGAGAGAGAGACGAAGAGAGAGGCAGGAGGCGGACGAGAGCTGGATGAGCGTGCATCCCCAACAGAGACAGAGGAGAGTGGAGAAAGAGTGAGAGGCAGGAGGGGGAGAAGAGAAAGAGAGAGACAGAGAGAGAGGCAGATGGCGGAGGAGAGCTGAGAGAGCGGGGGAGGCAGTAGGAGAAGGAGGGGGAGAGAGAGAGAAACGGTGTAAGAGACCGGAGGCTCAGGAGAGAAGACTGACATGGAGGAGAGACCTGAAAATCCCGTCTCATGGTGGGCTAATTGGCTAGTTTTGAAATAAGTGTGCAGAGTAGACATACCCCAACTGACTACCCCAAGTGTTGGAGGGCAGGGATAGATTACAGAGTGACTTAGACAGGTTAGAGGATT